CACATCTTTTGCATTTCCAAATGAGATTTATGTTTGAGAGTTTAATTAATTCTGTAAGATTTATTACTGACTGATAATTCTAGTTTAGTATGCATTTCAATAAAGATGATACTTAGACCTATCATCTATTCTATTTGGATTTCAGGTCTATCAATACCATTACGCAATGTGATTGTGTTTTCTACTTTAACGATGATTTGATTTATTTATATACAAGTTTTTTAGGTGTACCCCAAGGAAGTGTGGTCTACCACAATCAAAGCAATCAATGAATTCTATTTGTACCTTACGAATACAGAAATAACTAGCGCAGTCCGAGTATTCAGATACTATTATATCAAACTGTTTGAAATTGGGATAATTAAAGAATATGTCCTCAATTAGTCCAGTTTCAAAGAATCCGGTATATTTGCTGAACCGATTATCCGCACTATGCGAGGTATTAGTCTACTTACTTACAAAGCCAATAGTAAAGAATGAAAATAGTCTGAAACGATGTTACGTAAAGAATATTAAAATACTATTGACTTTCGCGCAATTAACTTGCAAATTCGCCGGATGTAACATCCAAATTTGTAGCTTATGCGCACGTCACTCATTAATCTTAGTCCGTAAATAAAAAATGTGCATATAGTTAAATACTTTCTAAATTATCTGCAAAATATCCAATAAAAACCTCTAAAAAATATGTGAAGGATTTTTTCACAGTTTAGAAATGTATTAATTAAAGTCTGTAATCTATAGAAAAAAAAGTTCAAAATGTTAATCAAAAGGATAATCCCAATATTATCTTAAAGAGTTTTAAGATGAAAACTGGTAAAATGTATTGCAAACTTTAATGTCCTTGACTAATAACAAAATTGATGTACTTATATTAAAATGATGAAGGATAAATATTTGCATAAGTCTAGTATATTAATTTTTGAAACAAATTTTGCAAGTTTAATATAAATATTTAATTTTAAAAACTTTCTAAAAAAGAATAAATACCAGTTTTGAAATGTTAGACAAAACGTTAATATTTGACTTGAAATTCTATCGATTACTAAATGAAAAAAAAGTATGAATTATATCAAAATCAGGACCACATTAAGGTTGTCATAGGTCCTTAAAAAGTCTTGTGAGTCCCCAAATAGGCTTAGGTCTAATGGATTGCTCAAATCAGAAATCCTAGTTTAGTATTCATTTGAATAAAGATGATACTTAGACCTATGATTTATACCATTTAGATTTCAGGTCTATCTACATCATTATACTACGTCATTATGATCGTCATATCCAATTTTGGTAGGTGTACCTCAAGGAAATGTACCTATGTCTAGAGGTCTACCAACATCAAATCAATGAATGCATTCGATAACAACTTTACAAATACATAATGACCTTGAATAGTCCGGGTATTCATCTGAATAATACCAATATTGGATTGTTTGAAAACAGACTAATTAAAGATCTAAGTACATACAAATATAAACCAAACAAGAAGAGACTATAGTGAATCCGGACTGATCAAAGCTAATAACAAAATATGCATTTTAAGTTAAATCAACCTTAAAACCATTCATTAATCATACTTGTTTTTACTGATAAACTTGAAAATATAATTACGAAGCTAATATCCTTCTGAAATGTTCAATAATTTATCAGTAATTTATTACTTGTAATTACATTGCACAATTAAATTGTATTTCACAAGGTTTAACACTCTTATTACATTAAGATAAACCTTGAGAATGTGCTGATACTTATAGAATAGTACTTTTAATATGACAATTATTATATATAATTACAGCTTGTTCAAATTACTGTTTTTTAATTGTAAATTGCATAATAAGTTTTTAAAGGTTCTTCAGCCAATAAATTTAATTTTATGAAAAAAAAAAAAAAAAATTATAAAAATGTATGTACAGTAATAACATTTAAGTAGCAAATAACTTTTTAATATTTTATCTACAAACCAAAAGATTGAGGAGAATGTAGGAAAAGTTGTAGTTTGTATCTTATGTGATAATAGTATTAAAACGAAAAGACGTAAGTGAAATTGTAACACGATAGGTGATATCGCATACGAAATACAAAATATAATAACTTATAAAAATCTTCTACATCCTGACGTGGGAAGATTTTGGGCGCCACTTCCTTTTCTTGAAAGAAAGAACTCCAACTTCTGCTTCTACAGATCAACACACTAGTTCTCTATCAGGCTCCTTAACTGTCTTGATTTCACAGTTCTGGACCCGCACCAACTATATATATCTGTTCTTCTGGAGACCTCAACCGTCTTTCTTCGCGGTTCGATCCAGTCTACCCGAAATTATGGAGACATGGAGAGTTGTTTGCAGTGTTGTCAACTTATGTTTATAATTAAATTATGTAATTACAAGAATTCATATCGGAAAATTTTATCAAATCAATGTCAACCGTGAACATTTTATTTAGTTCTATTATATAATAGATAGCAGAAAAAAATGGAATTGATAATGCATTTATGTTTTTGATTCCTAAATATAAAAATAAGCTTGTAATAAACATTTATTACATACACATATTTTTAAAAACTATAACCATAACACACAAATTTATGTTACAATGTTTTGAATAAAAAAAAATTGATTTTTCTATGTAAAAAGATGCGTTTTATGATCCAAAAAATACGCAACATATTTCAAATATTATAATAATAATAGTAAAATTTATTATAATAGTTGTATAATAGATAAAAAAATTAACAAAAATAAAATAGAATGTTTAAGTATTATAATTTTACAAATAAAAAACATAATCAATTTAATTTTTTCACCGTAATTTATTTTCAGAAAGGTTGAGTTTTGTTGGGAAGGATTTTATATCTTGGTAACATCCTGTAATCAGCTTATTTTCACCTTATAACTTTTTATTTAATTCATTTAATTTCATTGTTAAATCTGTTAGAAAATATAAATCTACTAAGCTGAAAACTTTAAATAGGTCGCATGAGACCTACGGGCCAAAATTTGGTCATGTCTAAATTAGATAACCCAGATTCTGTTCTACAACATTTCGTATTCATCGCATCCTGTTCGTATTCATTCAGTAATTATCTCTAAAATATCATAACAATATATATGTGGGAATTTGATTAAATTCCAATTTGCATAGTTACAGCAAGTCGATCAAACAAGTTTTTTAAATCACTAATTAAAAATCATTGCGTAAACTTGATAGAGATTAACTAAATTAAAAAAATAGATAAAAGTGTTAAATTATTAAAAAAATCTACCTATTGAAATTATTCTTGAACAACTTTTAAAATAGTCTATAAATCTATAGTTTTATAAAAAAAGGGATTTTTCAAGGTAATTATTTTTTATTAAAATTATATTTTTTATATAACTTTCTTTAAATAATGAATTCATCGATTTGAACTTTACAGATATTATTGCTTTCTTTATAAATTTCTATTTTATTTAATAATTTTTGATTTGCTGTACATTGTAAATATAAATTTATTTGTTTGAATCATGTACATTTTAAATGTTTATACATTAGGTGTTCAAACCGTTCAAAGACGATGTATGCTACCCTTGTTCGTTAACCGAATATAATTTTATAAAACAATCTAAGTTTCATAACACCACTTGCGATATCATCCAAAAGTAACGTCAATATGTCCAAACATGAAAATCATTTTCGAAAATGTTCGTTCTCTGATTTGTTCGAAAAAATCATATTTTTATTGAATTCTTAAATATTTAGCATAATTTTTAACATTTAAGAAGCTCAATTTTACAAACTTAACCAAAATATTCAGAATTATTGTTTTGATTTACTTTGAACTAGTTTTTTTCTTGCATATAAATTTTTTAATATGTTAATTATCTGTCATTTTTTGTATATAATTATTTCATTTATATAATTATTTTGTAGCAAAAATACTTATTTTTGTATAAAATTTATTTTATTTCCAATTTATCAAAAAGACAAATTCGCTTAAGAGAAATACTAAAAATTAATAATAATTTCATTCAATCAAGTTTCTTTTAAATGCTTATAAATTGAATGGAATCAGTTTGGACTTTTTAACATTTAACTTTATACTACTGACCTTACCAAAATATTGAACATTAGTGAATGGTTGATTTGATTCCTTTCTATGGTTGCATTTCATTAGTCTATAGAAGTTATTTATTCTTTGTACTACATCGAATTTACTTAAAAAGATTATTTAAACTTAACTGTACAAGTTTAAATAAGCCTCGGATAGTGCGGTTTTGATCAGTCCGGATTCACTATAAACCGATTTGAAAATTTCAAAAGAAAGTAAACTTTAAATGATCTTTTTATCCTTTTATTGTCAAGTCTATGAACTGCACACTTCAATTATATTGATTCTAAAGTCTTTGTTTCAAATAGATTTGTATCAACACTGATTTTATCATTTTTTTT